CATTAAAAAATAACATTAATAAACTACATTGGCTTTCTGAAACTGAAATTTTTGCTTTTTACTTGCTTATGGTACTCCGCAAAGTAGATTTTGTGTTGTGGATAGCTTAAGGATGCTGGGGTTATGTGTAGAAGGCTGTAAGAATTATTTTCTTTTGAGAAAGGAGTTAGTCTTGTATTGCTAAAGGGGGGGGGGTGTTGAACACATATTTTTTAAAAAAATTATGTGCAGTTGCAGTAAACTAAAGTAGTTGGTATGATGTGAGTCTTCAAGTTTTGTGGTCATCCCTGTAACATTAACTCACATAGAATATACAGTGGTCGAAAGTTTGGCAAGAGAGTTCCTGTGTGGAAAAATTTTAGGACCCCCCCCCCCATCAATCTATGGTCTTCTTAAGGCAGCTTTAGAAATACATCTGGTTAATGTATTTAGGTTGGCCTCCAAAGACTGAGATTCTTGAAGTATAAGTAAAGTTGTATCTGTAGGTAGAGATCATTGCTGATATGCCTGTCTGTTAGTAGTAACTGCATAAAGATGAAAGTAACTATTTTAACAGTTTCATAGCATTATGCACATGGCCCTTTGAAACTGTGTTAGGTGAGTTGATTATCATTGGAAGTGTTACACTACTATGGTTGCTTGTGAAGTTTTATATCAAAGTTTTAAACACTTAGAAAATTTGATGAACCTGCTTTGAATTTTGTCTTTCTTTGGTAGGCATAGTACTTTTCTCTTAGTAAAATCAGATTAGGTAATACATGTGAAAGTTCTTTGTAAATTGCCAGACCCATGCAGATATTAACTTGTTGAGATAGACAACCAATCAACACCTGAACAGAGCTTCTGTCTTAAAATGCTAACTTCACATCAATTGGAAAATTAATGCATTAAAAGTGTACCCTGGACACTATGAATTTTTGTTTTTTAAATACTGCTGTGGTTACCAAAAATCTCTTTGTTACAGTTTTGAAGCTTTGTCTAAAAAATGCTGCCTAGGCAGTTTCCCATAATTCAAATAAGATCATTTTTCCTTTTGAAGATCTTGGGAAATGTATGTCCACTGTTAAAAGTTTTCTCCATTGATGTGATGGTAGTTGATTGTAGTGAATATTTAAGTTCCTCTGGACTATCCTATAGACTTTTATTAACACTTAGAGTTAACAGATGCCAGGGCTAAAGTTTTGATTGTTTTGATTGACTGTGCTAACTTTCTGAAAAAATTCTTACTGACTAAAGCTTTCAAGTAAAAAAAAATAGCTTTCAAGTTTGCTTTATGGTGAAAATATGTACATCTGTATGCATTAGTATTAAGTACATGTGTATATCATTTTTGTTTTTCTATTTTAGAAGGATGCATGGGAAATGACTATTCAAATCTAGAGTACACTGAAATATTTTTGTGTAAAAATAACCCCAAAGTTTAAAGCCTTAAGTTGTGGCTTTCTTTATAGCTTTGCTCACAAATTTGGAATAGAAAATTAAAAACAACAACAAAAAGCACCCCAGTAAATTGAGAATCTTTGTGTTTGTGATTATATCAAAAGATCTAGTACCTTAAATCTTAGAAGTGACTGTACTTTGTGAAATAGCCTCAATTAGAAAGTAAATATAGAAACTTGCTTCTGTGAAGGGTGAGAAAAACATTTAACTGTTTAGACAAAAATGAAACCTCGGGTGATACTAACTTTTTACTCCATAGATAACGCATACTAAAGCTTTTTGTGAAGAAATACGAAGTTGAAGTTATAGTATCGTGCTTTTAAATTTTGTATCTTTAGTATTTTATTGCTGAGGGCTTTTGTATTTAACCACTATTCAGAAGGAGAGTGGAAGAAATTAAAGTTTTAGGTCTCTGACCTTTGACAGAATTCCTTTACATTTATAATCAGAACTGATTTCTTAAAACATGTTTGAATTTTCATACTATTTTGTGCTGGGAAATATATATAATTTATGTTGACTTCTCAGGAATTTTTGTACATGGACTTTTTCATTAGGCCTAAGTGTTCTTTTTAGGAGCAGAGTAATACATTTTGATCACGTTAACTTTACCAGTTGTATATTTTTGCTGCTTTAGAATTTTTTTAAGCAGTACTGTGTTAACACTGCGTTAAATTTATTGTAGATTATTATTTCCTGGAGTATATATTTTCTTCTTTGTATGTTTGTGTGTATATATGGCCATACCTTTTTGAGGGTTTCATATAATTCTTGTGAGTTCATATATTACATTTTCAAATACTGATCTTTTTTGAGAAGGTGTAATAAACTTTTAAGGATAACTTTAGTATTACTTGACTACCAATTCATCTTACACTGGGGTGGTGGTGAGCTCCTCCTTTGGGGAGATTATAAGTAGGTTCGGTCATCCTTGGGGCTTTTCTTTTAAAGGAATTTACCCCAGACTCTTGGCTAGCATTTTGAATACTGGGCCACTTCTTTCCTTCTAGTACCATACAAGCCTCTCCTACCCTTTTAAAAGAATGAAAAAGAATTTGTTAGGAGCCTCAGTTGAAGGAACTCTTCTTTCCTGTATCTTGCAATCAACCAGGAAAATGTTTTCTGCTTTTTGAAATAGGTAAGAAGCTGGTATGGGGGTATCTGCCTGTGATCCCAGTTACTTGGGAGACTGAGGTAGGAAGATTTATTGGGCCCAGGAGTTTGAGACCAGCCTGGGGAACATAGACCCTGTTTCAACAAAACCATACACAGTAAAATAAATAAAAGTAAACAAGAAAGTGAACCAGGAATGTAGAGTTAGGAAGGGAAAGAGACCTAATAGGTTGCTGAACTGGGCTTTATTTTGACTTGGTTTGCGGGCCTAGGGGAGAAACATAACTTAAACACAGAAGCCAAAAAGATGGGTTTTGTTTTATTGTTTTGGCTGCATTGAGAATACAAACTGTCAGTACTTGAAGAGAAGGAGCAGCAGAAAGGAATTGATTTTTTTCTGCTGCAGATCCAAGTATTGTTAACCATGTGCATCTCTAAAGCGACACACTTACAAATCAAACAGTAGTTGATTCTTTCACTCAATTAACAGTCAGAACCCAAACCTGCTTTTTTTTTTTTTAAAGTACCCAAAACTTAAGGGTAATGACAATAATTTCCTGATAAAAGTGGGTGATTGTAACCATGGCAACTGCTGTCTCTGGCCTTATGGACAGTATGTTGTATTGATGAAGCTTCAGATCCTTTAGTAGCCTATCACTTTTATGGTGAAATGTAGTAGCATGTGTTGCAGGTGATTTTTAGCTGGATTGTGTTAAATTTGTGTGCCAGCTTATCTTTCCTTGTTAGGAATTTCTTGGACTATATTCCACAGCATGTTTGTGAAGGTGCTGTTGCCTGAAAATAACCCACCACCTGTGTGAGGCCTCCTAATGCAGATTGCACTTAGTTCTTTCCCAGCCTCCTTTCAGAGTCTTGCAGAAAACAGGGTTGTGTGTAGGAACTCAATGTACATAAATTACAGATCCAACTTATCAGTTCGGGTTTGGACATGTTATTAATAGCTTAAAATTCTTTTTGTGTTTCCAGAGGAGGTTACTGAATGAGAGAAAGGGGCCTATAAATGGAAAATTTTTTCTGTAAGTTTTCTTTCCACAAGTGTGTGTGTGTGTGTGTGTGTGTGTGTGTGTGTGTGTAGGGAATTAAGCTTGAAGAGTGAAGGGTATAAATATTGAGGAAGGATTTGAGAGAAGAGAATCTTCAGGGTTTTTTTTTAGTGCTGGTGTATATATGTATTACTATAAGAATATATTTTCTAGTGAGCAGTACTAGAGAATGGGAAATATTTGCTTGTGAGAATTTTTTTCTTCTTCTTCTTTTTTTTGGCTTTTTGAGACAGGGTCTCGCTATGTAATACAGGCTGGCCTTGAACTCACTATGTAGCCCAGGCTGGCCCCGAACATATGGGAATCCACAGCAGTCTTCCTGCCTCAGCCTCCCAAGTGCTGGGATTACAGGCACACACCACCATGCCTGGCTTGCTCAGGAGAATGTTCATCAAGAAAAATTATAAAATATATCTTGATTAACTGTTCAAAGGAGACCTGATAAAACAAAACTTTTTTGGGGGAAGGAGGATAGTGTGTTGAAACTGATACAACTAAACTTAAAAAAAGTTTGAAGAATTATAGTTCCATCATATCAAATCTTTTTGCTTTTAAAGTATTTTTATCCTGTCCTATCTAAAGTTTTTCTAATGTGAAAATGTTACTATTAATTAATACTTTTTGCAGTGTGTGCTACAGCAACTGTGTGCCAGAGCAGAGAACAAACACATTAGATCTGAATTTGACTAGACCTTGATAGTAAAATCTAGTCAAATTGTGCTACACTGTTCAGACTTTCTTGAAACTTGCTGTGATAAAGTGGTTTACTTACTACAAGTCCCAAGATGCATTGCACTTTTTGCTTAACTTCAGATTAGAGCATTGCATGCTGGGGCCTGTAGTTGATTTCAACAGCACCAGGAACCCTTCCTTCTTGTCTACTCCATTTTATACACAGCTTCCCAGTCCTCTAAGAACTTTCTGCAAACTAAAGTTTGATTAACAATATCATGGTTATTATGCTGCTGGAATTCTAGAGCAGGTGCTCAGAAGCAATCTAGTGCTTTAGTTTATGGTAGTTTGTGTTTTCTATCAGCGATGCACTATAAGATTTACTTGTAAAATAATATATATTCAAAACTTGACTCAGCAATTGTAAGTAATTTTTGTGTCATTAAATAGTTCACTTTGTAATCATAGCATCGTTCCTTGAGAGTGTGGGCATTAGAAGCCTCTAGTTGTCAGGCCTGGTAAATACACTGTTCTTCCTTTTCCTTCCTTCCTCTTCTTTTTCCCAAAGGGGAGAATTGCTCCGTAAAGTTTGATGGAACTTCTCCTTTTTGGTATCTATGTTTAAGTTCAGAGTTCTGTAATTCTTCTGTGATAATTGCCAACATGTTGAATATCTGTACCCTCTAATTAGAAGACACTTTCTTTTTTTAGGGGGTACCGGGACTCGGACTCAGGGCCTTGCGCTTGCCAGGCAGGTGCTGTGCTGCTGAGCTACATTCCTGGCCCTGGAAGACAAATTCTTGAAAATAAACATCAGTATAAATTTGATATTCAGAGATATAGTCTGAAAGGCAGAAGAAAAGGTAAAATATCTTCAATAATTTTTTTATTTTCATTTTTAAAAATTTTTATATTTCTTTTGAGGATTCTTAACTAGGGTGTTGTTGTAGATTAAGTCTTCAGGTCTATGACAGTGTTTAGCACATTGCTTGGCACATAGTAGAGCTCAGTAAATTTTTAGAGTTAGTAGCAATATTAGTAGTTGTTACTTAAAATAGCATGCTTCACATTTTTTCTTTTTTTAAAAATTATAATTTGACCAGAAGCCCAGGCTGTTCTAATAAGACCTTGAGATTTTTGGCTTATGGTAATGACAAGGCAATTCTTTAGACTGTTTTGCTGCACATAAGATGTCTTTGCACCTCAGTTTCTCCCTAAGTGACACATGCCCAAAGTGAGACAAGCGAGTAGCAGAATTTTGATCAAGATTCAGTTGCCCATCCAGTATTTGTTGCCATTGTACTACATCTTGACTTCAGAAAGTTCAGGATAATGAAAGCAACTTTGTTCATAATGTTTGCATTGGTGGAATATCCAAACTAGTTGATTAATGAAAATAAGATTCAGCAAAAATGCTTCACGGTATGTCACAGTATATGTAACAGTATATGTATATGTGTCACAATATATGTAACTTTGGGGAAATCCTGTTGTGTCTAGAGGCATGTGCCTGTTCATCACTACAGTGTTATAGGAGCGATGTATTGGATGCCAGTAAGCAGCCCCACAATGAAAACATAATTTCAGATCTGGGTTGTGTTTAAAATGTTAGATTCAAGGAAGTCTTAGGTCCTCACATTATTTATTTCTTTTAGGATACTGACCTCTTTTGGACTCTTAAAATTTCAGGATATTTTTATTTGTGTGATTGATCCCTTTTAGCTGTTTGAGATGGAAAAAAGATGCCTAGTAACATTGAAAAATAAAAGCATAAGTTGCTACGTATGTGCCTCAGTCTGAATGTAGACAGAATCAGGGAATTGTCTTTCTTAACCTACTTGGATACTATCTATTCTGGCTTTTTCCCTAGTGTGGAATTCTTGAATATTCTTCAAATATTATTTGCTGGTGGCTGCTGTGTTTACTTAAGAAAACTGTGCCTTAGTAGTATTTATTTAGGTTCTTGTTTACTAAAATCAATTTACTATAATAATAAGTAACATTAGCCCTTTCCTCCCTCATAATTGTGATTCACAATTTTTTTTTTTTTTTAAAGAGTAAAAGAAGGATAACATAGTAATAGGGGGGCTTACCTAATTACAGACAAAGTGATAGGAAATTATCAATGTGATTTATTTTTTTTTTTTTTGTGATTCACAATTTATTATTGTATGTATTAGACTTTAAATAGTGTCATTAGAGAATTTAAGGAATCTGGTCTGTCTGATATACTTTATATTATAAATTATTTATTTTATACGATTTGTCTTTTCATGATCTAATATTAAATTGAAACATATTCAGATGTTACAAAGAAGTTAAATACAAAGGGTTTAATGTAAGGAGAAAAGTGGTCTTTGGTATTAATTGGACAATACAGAGAAAAATTAGGTTTGGCTGAATTCTCTCTCTGTATATTTTATTGTTAGATTTACTCATGTAATTCATGAAGTACTAAAGTTGGAAATAAGGAAAGTAAAACTTGGCAGTTGTGCATACTCACTCTGGAGTCCTGTGACACACCTAAATTGTTTGGTTTTGTTTTGTGACAGGGTCTCACTATGCAGTTCAGATTGGCATTGAACTCACTATGTAGCGTAGGCTGGCCTCAATTCTCTCTTTTCTTTTTTTTGGTACTGGGAACCGAACTCACGACCCTGTGCTTGCCAGGCAGGCGCTGTGCCGCTGAGCTAAATCCCCCGCCCCTGGGCCTCAACTCTCTGTAATGCTCCTGCCTCAGCCTCTCAAGTGCTGGGATTACAGGTGTGTGAAACCATGCCTGGCTGACACACCTAAATTTTTGAACAATCTCTCCCCTTCTGTTTTTTTTGAGACAGGGTCTCACCAGTTGGTTCAGGCTGGCCTTCAACTCGCTTATATAATCCAGGCTGGTCTCAAACTCATGGTGATCCTTCTGTTTTAGCCTCCTGAGTGCTGGGATTACAGGTGTGTGCCACCACGCCCAGTACTCCTACCTTTTAATAAAAATGTCTGAGGCCAATATAAATCAGACAGCTGTGATGATATCAAAGACCTGGCTTTATATCCAGTTCTGTCACTTAAATGCTTACTCTTGGGAAATTCAGTTTCCTGGGGGTTTAGTTTTCCAAGTGAGAAATAAATAAGGGCTTGCTTCAGTATGCTGTGAAAAGGAATACCTGATACTCGTGAATGTACTTTATAGACCAAAGTAGTATACGTAAACTTTATTTATTGATTGATTGCAGTGGTGAGGATCAAACCCTTGTGCATGCCAGACAGGTGCTTTACCACTGAGCTATACTGCCAGCCCAAATAATGAATGTCTTGAGTTTATTTGTATATATCATGTTAATATTATTAATATTAATCAGGTTTTAGATGTCTGAGTTAGAATAAAAATGAACCAAATAATTAGCAATCCACTGTGCCTGCAGTAGATAAGTTCTTGGAAGGAAGTGTTTAGACATGTTTATACAGTAGCTTGTTCTTGACAATATACACGGATACATTTGTGTATAATATAAATATTATAAATGACTGATGTGTTCAGAAGTTTTAATCACAGACTTTTATACTGAACTATATTTTTATGTGTTTATATACAAGTTTACATCAGTAAAAATAATTGTTTTAAAAAATGACATAGATGTATAGATTAAATGTTTGGCAAGTACAAGTTTTTGTACTTGAGGGTTATCTGCTGTTAATAACAACAGTAGTTTAACACTGACTGTTTATTGTATAAGTGCTAAGCCTTTTTACTCATAAGATCTTGTTTAATCCTCACAGCCATACCGGGAGGGCTTACTGTGGTTATCCTACCTCCATTTTACAGGTAAGGAAATGGAGGTTTTTCTGGGATCACATAGGTAATGAGTGGTACAACCTGGAGTCAAGCCCAGGTGTACTCCTGATTTCGCACTCTTAAGGGTCCATAGTGGTGTATAAACTACGTAATTCCCATAGCAACTTAGAAAGTGAATTACTAAAGAAGTTTTCAGTTTTCTGAAATGACCGCAGTTACGCTGTATCATTTTGAGATGCTCTCATGTTGCTTTTGGTTGAGTTAGGTCACATATTTTAGAAATAGTAAGTATTGAAATGGAATGGAAGTAAGGGCATCTGAGACAGTGCCTGTTTTCGTCCTCATGGTGTGCCATGGCCAAGCACAGTACTAGCGTGGGATAGGGTCTAATAACTATTTCTTAAAGGTTGGAAGTTGGGCTCTTTAGCATGGGTAGATTATTTTATAAATTTTCTTAATAGACACAAATAGTTCACATTCAATCTTTATGTAATTCTTTGTTTTGTTTTGGTGGCGGTACTGGGGATTGAGTATTTTTGCACTGTGCTATATCCCCAGCCTACTTTAAATTTTTTACTTTAAGGCTGGGTCTTCCTGTGTCACTGAGTTGTCCAGGTTGGGCTCAGATTTGTGATCCTCCTTCCTCAGCCTCCGAGGGTGCTGGGATTATAGATTGGTCACCTCACCTGGCCTAACAGTATTTTAGTGTTAAAGAAGTGTCTTTTCTTTTAAGAAATACTATAAAAGTGTATATCTGGATTATGAATGTCATTCTAGCAATATATAGATATGTAAGTAGGAAATTAAAGTTGTAATACTCCCATCCTGCTTTTAACCATTTTCTATCCACTTAGGTATTTTTTATACATGCACATTTTAAAAAGTAAGACAATGCTATCTTAAAATTAACTTTTTTGAGATGACTACTGTGGGCTTTGTATCATTGAAGGCTCTAAGGTTACCTATGGATCTGAAAACACTTTTAAGTTCTGTTGTGTCTCATGCTCTAGCTAATGATCACTGTTACTGTTAAAACTTTAAAAAAATGTTAGCCAGTTTAAAGTAATAACAGTGTTTTCTCTTCTGTGCAAGCAATTTAAGAGGCATCATTTCAGAATTAAATTCAACTAATTTATTTTGGTAGCTACTTATAGAGAACAGTTGTGTTTAAAGATGACTTTTTTTTTAAACCAGTGGTCTCCTTGCTTGTTAAGAAGCATTCAACATTTACAAAATAGAGTTTTAAAACCAAACTAATACTCATAACATTTTAGTTAGAAACTCAAACCTGCACAGCTTCCTTGGTGTAGAGACCTTGCCTAGGAATTAGTCTTGGTCCTCACATCTTTATGAGGAGTTTTGGCTAACTTCACCCCAACCAGCTGGCCCTACTCACTGAGCTACTACTAAATGCTATACTAATAACCCAGTGTTTTTAAAGGCATTTTTTTAAAAAAGGTAAATTTTTGAGTGCTGTTCATTTTGATTTTAGTTGGAGAGTTTTAACTTATTGTTAAAGTTAATTATAATTCATCTTTGTAATATTTAAATTGAAAACTTACTAAATAGGTAATAAAAGGTTTTTCATTACAACAGTTTAAAAATGAAAACCTTTCTAATCCTAGAACATATTCCTTGCATCTCTGGTACTTTATTCTTTAGACCCACATTCAGTGAAGTGATAAAGCTTAGGCTTAAAATTCTAAGAATTTGATCTGACAGGGTGTGGCAAGCAGTGTTAAACTTTGTAGAGCCACTGTTTTCACAAGCCAGGTTTAAGAGTATTTCTCATTGGTAGCATTCATAAATATGCTTTTCGTCTTGAGTGGTTCAGACCATGTGTTCTAGAGTATTTTAGTCTTTCTCCTAATAGTCTTACAGGTGTACAAAGAGCTCAGTTAATATCATGGGTGGTGAAACTGAGGCAGGGAAAAGAATTTGTTTAAATTAAGGGCAGAGCCCAATTTCACTAACTTTGAAACTCTAGTCTTGGTCATCTTGCCCTCTTTAACCTTTTTAAAAATCTGATCACCAGTAAATGTGTAATAGTCTGAATTAGTGTTTTCTGTATGTTATCAGACAGGAAAGTCGAGATTTTTAAAAGGTTGAGATGTTAAAATGTAAGTTGTAGTAATTTCTTCCTGTGTTTCCCCTGGGGCACGTCCCCCACCTGGAGACCAGTGCTCCAGAAAGACCTTTTTGCTGGCAGAAGAGACAGACTTGGGGACAGCTGGAGGGCAGTTGGAAAAGGTGTGGGGCTTTTGAAAGGAGTGATCTTTTGTAGCTTTCCGGTTTTAAAGAAACAGCCTTTCTGTGCAAGGCTGAAAGATTGAGAGTAAAGGCCTTGAGAGAGGTGAGCTTAAAAGACTGAAATAGAAGCCTTATTTGTTTCTTCAGAGTTGACCAAAGGGGAGAGGCTGCTTACCCTGCTAGCTTCTCCCAGAGATGGCAGTGCCTTTTCTGTTGTTGGGCAGTTTATAGAACGCAGGATAGCTTGGTAAGCGGCTTCTCTGTGCTGATGTGACGTAACATTGTGGAGTATGCAGCATGCATGTTAAGTACAATTGGTTGTGTTTGGCTTGTTGCTGCAGCATTTTTGAGGATTTCTTAAAAAAACAATTATCACTCGCTAGGGTTGGATATGTGCAGATGATTGAAAACATCGTTTTGAGGATACCAAACTTTTTAACTTGAATTTTTCTATTGTGTTTGTTTACTTCTTTCCCCACCCCCTATACCTCAGAGCAGAATTCCTTTTCTGAAAAGAACAGATGCCGTTAACTTATCAGAACTTGATAGTAAAAAGCCTTCAAAAATCTTTGTGCTGTTTATTTTATTTAATCTATATGCAAAACATTTTGTAATTATTGCTGTTAGAGGGTTGTCAGCTGGTGGTTCCTCCCCACCTTTTTTGTGTTCTGGAGATAGGTTAGGAATGCCAAATTGACAACTTGGTATAAAGAAATAATGACCACTGAAATAAAACAGGAGTTCAAATAAAAAGCAAACCAGATACAAATGTAGGATGAAAATATCTTTTAGTAAAATGTTAGCATGCTGTACTTGGAACAGATGCCACATTAATTCAAAAGAGAGCCCAGAAAATGTGGCAACTTTACGATGTCAATGGAGGGAGCCGCAATAGTTCCTGTTTTCATTGTGTCAGGTTCTTAGTACTACCTCCTGGTCCAGTCCTGTTCTTTATATGTATTTTCTGTGCATATTATATGTTAATATACAGATAGTACATTCATGCTTAATATTTTCAGTTGTGTAATTAAATACATTGTCATAATGGTAGATATTAGGGTGAGAAGCCCATTAACTTGTAATGCAGCAGTAATGACTTTTGCTTTAAATATGTGTGTTAGGATATTTACAAGCTGTGTCAAAAATGGACCCCTCCCAACCCTTCAAGGCATATTTATAATAAGAAGGTAATCTAATAATTGAGTCTTTCAAAGAGGCCCTAGTGCTTTTTAAATGTAGGATTTGGACAAGTTGCAAAATTTTAAGAAGTTTGCATTTATTTTTTTTCTCATTTAAATTCGTAGTTATCATTGGACATTTGTTATGATTTTTAAGTAGTTTAGACTCATTCATTCTTTTTTGGTGTTTTTTATGGTGTTTGGGAAAAAGAAGGGCTGATGGAAGGTTACTATACACCACTGGATATTTCCAGAGTGACATTCATTTTACAGAAGACTGTGCTGGGACATCTCCTGAATTGCCTCTTTCTTGCAGTGCATGGTTAGCGTGGATCTGAGCGTGGATAGAGGTGGGCTGGGGGCTTTTAACCAGATTTACAGCGTGCCTCTTCCGCGCAGTGCAATGATCTAATCACCAGGGACATATCCTGTGTGCCTGTAAAGAGTCTGGTACGCATGCTTTGGAAAGTGTTAGTGGTTTTCTCTCAATCTAAATCTATAATTTAATAATTTGGTGAAGTGTTGAAAGTTTTGTGTTCATGTAATTCCCTGGAAGGGAAGTTTTTAGCATGGAAGTAGAGCACAGTGGTTAAGCGTGTTAGTGCTGGAGCCAGTCTGTGTGCCATGCATTAGCTCTGTGAGTGCAGCCAAATCAGTTGACCCTCTGTCTGTCTCAGTTTCTTCATCTATCAAATGTGAGTAAGTAATAGTGCGTTCCTCTGAGGTTGTGATGAGGAGTAAATAAGTTAATGTGTGTAGTAGTAGAAGTGTTGGACACATAGCAAATAGTAAAGAAGTGGTACTTGGCAGGGTGTGGTAGTGCATACCTGTAATCCAGTACTCGAATTTGGTGGCTTCTGCCCAGCCTTGACATTTTAGCCATGTAGTGAGACACTGTGTCAAAATAAAAACATATTTAAAAAGCGGCTGGGGATGTAGCTCAGTGCAGAGGCCTTAGGTTCAGTCTCTAGTACCCCCCCCTCAAAAAAAAAGAAATAAATGGTACTTAATCTTAGTTCTCTGCTTTTTTCTTCCCTTGTGAAGCACTGAGAAAAATGTTACCCCCTGGGAAAAGAACTTGGGCTTTGTGGTCCTGATCCTTGGGTTAGAGGTTTGGCCTAACCACTCAAAAGTTGAATGTGTGATCTTACAGTAGGTAGTTATGCTTCCTTCTGTGTCGTACCACATGCCAACCACGTGCTAGTCATTTTGACTTCAGTGTCTTCATCTATGACAGAGGGATGATAATAACAGCCTCCCTAGGGTTTACATGAAGATAAAATAAGAAACTCTTAAGATACCAATAAACAAGACCTGCTCTTATCATTATTATTGTTTTTGTTACAGTCCCACTAAAAGTTTATGGGAAAAGAGTAAATGAGGAACAATTTAGTTGGAAAGTCCCCTCCCCCATGCCAAGGTGAGAAAAGTACATCTACTGAGTTCTTATTTGTAAGTACTTCTGGGAGAAATAGAAAGTACATGGGCATACGTTACTTTTAACAGAGCCTTTTAAAAATTTTCATGGTGCTTTGTATTTATTAAAACTCTCCATGACAGGGCTGGGGATTTAGCTCAGCGGCAAAGTGCCTGCCTGGCAAGCGCAAGGTCGTGAGTTCGGTTCCCGGTACCGGAGAAAAACCAGAAAAACCAAAAACAAACAAACAAACAAAAAAAACCTCTCCATGACATAAACCTTTCTTCCCCCCAGCCACTGATGAGACCAGTTGCAAGAAACTGAGGCAGTTTATACATAGTAGGTTGGTTAGTGTCAAGTCTGAGGTACACTAGGTCTGATAAGTTGTGTGTGTTTAACCCTGAATCAGTAGGGGAAAGGACAGTGTTTACTACATTTTATCTGTGTTCCTATAACAGTGTTGCAGCTTTGTGAACAGAAATTCGAAAAAGTGTGTTTTGAATGAGTGCTGTACTTCAGCTCAACAAATATTTTAAAAATTAAGCAATACTAGGCAGCATAGGGTTTTTTCAATTAAAAATTGTAATGTTATTCTACAATAGGTAGAGTGCCCGAGAAGTACAGTTTTATAGCTCTAAAGTGACCATATGTGTGATATTAAATGTTTTGTTTGTGTGCAGTGCTGAGGATAGAACCCAAGTCTGGCACATGCTAGCGAAACACTACCGCTGAGCCTGAAGTCTTGTGCACTTTTCAGGTTGGGTGCGCCACATGAAGGATCTCTAAAAGTTGCTTCACTTGGTTGAATGGAATTTAGGAAGTTTTAGAAGTGTATTTCATTTCAGTAAGTATATGGGCTGGAAATAGACTCTACAAATCTTTGGGGTTGAGTTAAAGAATGGTTTTGAACCAGGCATGGTGGTGTGCACTTATATTCCTGTCACTTGGGAGGATGAGACAGGAGGATCACTACAAGTTCAAGGCCAGCCTGGGCTACATAGTAAGACCCTGTCTTTTAAAAAAAAAAATACAGTTGTGAAAACCAGTTTATCCCAGTTTAATTCGTAAAAGGTGCCACTGTGGGATCCTGTCCTGTGCATTAGGTACTTAAGGAGAGATGCTGCCTTTGCTCGCCCATCCCCCACGCTGTAGCCTTTCTCCTCCTCTGTTCTGTGAGCTCTTCTCTGCTCTCTCTTCTAAAGTCACTTGCAAAGTAACTGAATATTTGTAAAATGTTTTATGTCTGGACTAAAGGAGAGAATAGAAAAAGTTCTTTTTACCTAAGAAGTTGCTATATTTTCAGATAGAGGACAAGAGAGGCATAAAGACTTAACTAAGATAAGCTTTAACTTCACTAGATTGCCCTCTGTAGTCCTAATGAGAGAAGAAAATGAACTTTTTGATGTTGCTAATTCAAAAAATATTTTATTTAATTACTTAATTTTTGTCTCTTTAAGACAGGGTTTCACTGTGCACTTTAGGCTGACCTTAAACTCACTTTGTAGTGGAAGCTGACCTTGAACTCACAGTGATCCTCCTGCCTCAGCCTCCTGAGTGCTGGGATTACAGGTGTGAGTCACCACACCTGGTGTATTTTATTAATTAATGGAGAGGACTAGAATTTCTTCCTTTGGTTTGTGAAATGAAAGATACGATATAATGCCTTGTTATTATGTATTGATATGTATTGATCCTTTTTTGGAGGTTGTGGTTGAGACAGGGTGTCACTAAGTAGTTCAAGCTGGCCTCAAACTCACCGGCAACCCTCCTTCAATCTCCCAAGTGCTGGGGTCACAGACACGTACCACCATGCCCAGTTACTGCTCTTTTTACCTTTCATTAGTTGATATATGCAAAATAGCAGACCCTTTCCTTTTCAGGTTCCTGTGATTGTTTGGTAAGAAACTTGGAAATTGTGGTTATGTGTTGAGTTAATAGCTATGTTAGATTTAAATTCAGTAGCTTCTGAGCTCTATACCAGACCTTTTATCCTTTGTTTAATTATACGTGAAGAAAAACATATTTGAGATGTCTTAACTTTCTTCTCTTTCCCTTCCTTCCTCCCTCCCTCCCTCCCTTCTTCCCTTCCTCCCTCCCTTCTTCCCTCCCTCTCTCTCTCTTTCCCTCTTTCTTTCTTTCTTTCTTTCTTTTTTTTCTTTCTTTCTTTCTGTTTTTTTGAGAAAGAGTCTCAGTGTGCAGTTCAGACTGGCCTTGAACTCACTGTGTAACCCAAGCTGGCTGTGAACTCACGGCAGACTTTCTGCCTCAACCTCCCAAGTGCTGAGATTACAGGCATGTGCCACCACACCTGGCTAGAGCCCTAACTTCATAAAATTTTAATAAATTTTTTTATGGAAATTTAAATACATGCAGAAGTAGAGTAGATAATATACAAATCATGTACCTTTTACCTAACTTTGATAGTTACTAGCATGTTGGCAGTCTCTAGTGTATATAACATACTAAGAAAATAATTTTATATTTTCAAACATGCAGAGCAAATAGATGCATCGATATATTGAAAGAAAAAGTGTGTGAGGATGTTAACTGCTTGCATACAATTTAAACTGGTGGTCCCTCTTAGGATAATAAGGTTTTCAAGGGGCTGGGGATTTAGCTCAGCGGCAAAGCGCCTGCCTGGCAAGCGTAAGGTCGTGAGTTCGGTTCCCGGTACCGGAGAAAAACCAAAACCAAAAAAAACAAACAAACAAACAAAAAAAAAATAATAAGGTTTTCATTTGTCCTTTAGCTTATTGAAGATGTCTGACCCACTGTTAACTTAATAAAGAACTCTCTCCAGGAGAGATTTTTTTCTTACCCCATCTGTCTTTAAGGAATTATTAGTTTTTCAATTTACTGTTCTTAAAAATAAGTTGCATTTTTTTGTACATGTGCCTATCTGTAACTTTTCTAGTAGGAGCCAGTAATGCTTGTTTCTAGCATGTGCAGGGTGCCATGTGTGATTTAGGGTTGTAAATCACTGGCTCTTGTTTTGCACTTGGTATCTACTTGTGTACTTGTGCACATTCTATTTCTGTTTAACCTGAGTGTGTGTATTCGGGAACACAAGTTGTAAAATAGTTTCTTGGACAGGGAATTTTGACTGCCTGCTAACTTTAGACCTAGTAATGAGGGTTAGGAGTGGGAATTATTTGCTCCCTTGTCTGCTCCTCTTTAGACTGGTAAGTTATTCAGGGGCCTGCAGTTGTGGGGCCTGCTCATTACTAGTTACTACAAGGTGACGGTAGCCCTATTTCTGAATTTCTTTGGCTTTATTAGTTTAAATTAGACCCATAGGGGTAATTATTCCACCCCAATGCATGAAGAAACCTAGTCAGTAGAAGTTGTATATGGAAACCCTTGTGTACTGCAATGAAAATGTATCTTTAATGTTACCATGTTGTTCGGCATATTTAGTGCAAGGAGCACACTTATTTAATGGGACCCTAATAAGCTCCCACTACAGGAAAGATATATTTTTAAAAATTATACTTAAGACGACTTTGTAGTACTGTATTCCCTAGTAGAGTTTGTCTAGAGTGGTGAAACCTTTCTAAAATAAAACTTATTCCTTTAACCGGTATTCATTTAAGTGGGTTTCTCTGTACTTGGTTTCCATGGAAATAGCGAATAGCTAACGTTATTTATAAGGTGGAAGTAAAATAGGGTGCCTAATGGGACCCCATGCTGCTCTGATGAAGAGACTTAGGGAAAAAAATCCATGCTCATGGGATTTTTTTTTTTTAAACAAGGTTAATGGAAGCCCTGATTTCAGTTTCTGTAACAGAACATATTTTTGGTTTTAAAGGCTAGCATTAATATCAAGCAAACAACTTCTTTTTGAGGTCTATATTGCTTTCACTTTCAAGTTTTAAGACCTCTTACCAGCAGGATTGAGGCTTTATGCTTTAGATTCCTGGTTTTTTGTGGTTTTTGTTTCAAAAGTTCAAATTCCCAGCATTATTGTAGTTGTTTCAGTTTCTCTTTGACATTTCAAAGTACAGATTAAAAAGGTAAATGTTCATTAATGATAGCAGTGATGATAAAGAATCCATATGTTGGAAGACATCTTTTTTTTTTAGTGTAAATTTCATGGAACCATTTTTAGTGTTTAGGCCTGAAGTCAGGGTTCTTTATTTGTATTGCTAAACCTGTGTAGTCAGAGAGAAAAAGATTCTAATTTTCTTTGGGGATGGAAACAGGGAAAGTCTTAATTTCTCTTTCCCTTTTAAGAAGTGGAGTGTTGCCAAAGCCTTTTAACTAAAATAACTGTTCATTCTTTTAGTCTTTGAAATGTGGATTTGGGATAAACCTTGGCTTTTTCTTCACTTCATCGGCAAGGCCTACTCTAGATTTTTTAGGCCTGTAGCAAAGCCTTGCATTTCTATAGCCCCTTCAAGTGAAAGAATATCATTCCCCTTTGTGTTTGTGTTTAGGGTGTGTGTGTGTGTGTGTGTGTGTGTGTGTGTGTGTGTGTGTAACTAATTTTTCCATAGCCTGAAAGGCACCTGCTCATTTTCCAGCCTGGTGAGTACAGCAGTGCTATATTGTGAGGGAAGGCAGGATGGAGCACGATAAGGTGCTATGATTTTTATTTAGTTAGTTTTGGTTGTCCTTGGCAGCTTGTGATCATTATCCATTTGTCTAGAAGTACTCTGATTTTTCTTGGCTATCAGTGCGGCAGGAGTTTTCTTATGTTTAAAAGCAAAGATTGTAGTACACTTAGGCTAGCTCCAGCAGGGGAAGAGTTTTAGTTTGTGTGTGTGCATGTGTTTGTTTCTTTGGATAAGCTGCAGTTGGGTTTATTGTGCTTTAATTCATAAAAAATTGATTGTTTTAATCCTGTTGAACTTGTTTTTATGTGAGATATTTTATCTGTAGGAATTCACTATTTTCCTGTGTGCATGTTAATGTTATTAAATTTCATTAGTTTTTAGTTTATCTTTTTCTTGTATATTTTTAAATCTGATGTTTACCAGTGACCTTCCTTGGTGTCTTTTATTTGAATTATCTTTGTGCTCTAGAGACATGGGAATTTGGGTCTTTTATGCCATTTTTGAGAGAAGTCCCAGTAGTTTGAGTTAGTGCAGTAGAAAGGGTTTTCACAGATGCAGTGCTGGGCATTCTCCTCCTCCTCGGTGCTTAGGGTTTGTGTGCACAACTCCCATTAGTGTTAATAGAGGCACTTGCTTAAATCCCTGTACACCAAGATAAGCCCAAACTCTTTTATAATGCCTCGTGGATACTGAGTTGTTTTTTTGTTGTTGATCGCAAGAGTTTTGGTCTTTAGGTTAACTGAGTATTAGGATAGAGTTTGAGTTGTCTTGGGATATAGAGTCATTTACTGAATCGGATCTGTAATTAAGTTTTCGTTATGATTAGCTTCAAAACATGCAGTTCTATAAGCTGTAGAAGCTTGTAAATAAAGATTTTTGTACTTTATTGCATGATGAAACAAGATTTATTTTTTTCTGTTTATTTCTGCTACTACTCAAATTATTTTAGCCACAAAATAAATGATTTTAATGGTTTTTGTGCATGTTGTAAAAGGACTTAGTAAAATTTTTCTTTTTTTACTCAGAAGCCTTCCTACCGTTACCTTGACTTCCAAGTCTTTTGTCAGCTAGAATGTCCCACATTTTCCCGTCATATAGAAGGTAATATGCACTGTTTCAGAGTTTAGACACTTCGATCACTAGTCAAGAATGAAATGATCACTGTTACTACACTTGTCTGTGAACTGTGCAATTTTATTATTTTTATTTATATATAGTCTAATGGAAGAATTCCCAGATTGAGAGCTGTCAATCTGGGTTTTAGGCTGTGCTTTATCTCATTTTTATA